TTGCACACTAAGAGAAAGTGAACTGATCAACACTCATAGAGCTGGTCAACTAACTGGACGATCTTGTCCTTCAGGGTTTTCGACAGTAATAGTCAACTCGAGAGACACTACTCTATCAACTATGCGGCAGTGAATATCTTTTTCAGGGACTGCGAGATTCTTCTTCTTCAATGATACTGATGGCAGGTATATCACCTTCGAATTCAGAGTTCATACTCTCAGTATTTTCTTGGTTATAGACGTTAAATCTCATTTTAACTGAATTTTTTTGTCAATAAAAAACAATCTGGTGGAAATCCGTTTTCCACTAGGACTATCCTTAAGAAGTTTTGACTCCTCCCGCACAACATCCGGAATATATATATATATATGCGATGAATGCAAATGTTAAGTGATACAATCAGGTTTCGTTTTTGACCAGTGGGTGGCCAGCTGCAAAATTGGTCTGCTCACCATTACTTGACTTCCTTTTATGACAACACCTGCTTAAGCGAACAATATTGTTATCTTCAATTAGATCTCATCATCAGGCTTAACTCTAATATACACCTACATAACTTTACAAATTAAAATTCAAATATGAACCAATCATCATGGTGTTTTGTCTCTAGGATAGATAATAAGATGGTGAATATTAATTGTGCAATTAGTCATAATAGTAGTAATAATACTAATGATAATCATAATGGTTTTTATCAATAATAAGGATGAAAAAGTGAGGCATTCTGTGATAACACGAATACTGATGAAAAACAGCATGATTGAACAAACAAATGTGTTCAGGTAGACATAGTAGTCGATAAAGGCTAGCTGAAAACAAATGAACCGATTAAGTAATGCTAGACTGATTGTAAGGGAAGTAAATGTGAAACACGTTTATAATGAAGATGTGATAACATTAAGGGATGATAAGAGAGTGGGGTTGAAAATATAAGTAAGTAAGGTGTGGTGGTGTAGAAGTCATCAGTTGGTTATGTCTTAATAGGCCAACAAGGCAGGGATAATGGTTGTTCGAACTTCTTTTGAATGAAGGCATAGTTTAGGTTTAATAGTTCGAATGCCTATCGCTTGCCTCAGCTGTGTTTGTGTGTGCAGTAGACGAACACGAAGTCTGTTGGAAAGATTCGGTGGGGGATACGATGAATCACTTTGAAAGCTCTCGTTCTCTCCACTACAACATGACCACTATCAATTAAAATGTGATAAAATTGAGCTACGGATTGTTTTTGTCTGTCCTTTGCCAAACCACGATGATAGCAGATGTTCAGTGGTGACACGTTGGCTGGCTAAGCTGTCTAGTAGTAGTGTGCCAACTGTCATAACTATCACCATAGGTGCAGTTCAATCGATAAATGCACATAGATGTATGGCAAAACTATCTATCCAGCTATCTATCTATCCTTCGTTTGCGTCCCAATGATTCGTCGGCTAGAGTGTGACAGACAAACACATCGGTATGCTGCATAAAACGTTCTCCGTATACTCCCGGGGAAGTCCCTGGAATAAATGCCTCACTTGACAGAGACAAGTCACCATTAAATTGTAACTTAATAATAAATAGCGGTTTCTTACGTGCAGTCAGAGTTTCAGGTTTTGGTTTTCTCTCTTTCTCTGAAATGTTTTCATATGTCTCTTTATGAAACTATTCGGATAGCCAGCCCATCTCCGTCAAGGAATCGTGAATATAATTTCAGATTCTTTCTCTATAGGCCAATCTTCCCAGAGTTTCGTCAGTCCTCTTCGATGAGTGCACATCAGGAAAATGACCAATTCTGAAGATTGGCTATGAAAGAATGTGGTACTACTTAGAGGACCCAAAGGAGGTTCCATGGTCAGACTATGTTGCGTAATACTTTAATCGCCTGTGAATTTTATTATTATTTCGACTCACGCACACACACACACATAAATCCACATCCCTTTGAGATTATTTATACATTTCGTGGACTCTATTTTATAAGATTATTATTATTATTATTGTTCCCTTGGGTTCCTAGGGGAATATAGGGCTTCAACTACACGTCTTCACTTGCTTCTGTCTTCTGATGTACTTTTCATCTGCATCCATGTTAGTCCATACTGCTCCAACTCCTCTTCACACGATATCCTCCATGTCACCCTTGGACGTCCCACTCGCCAGTTACCTTTCGGGTTCCACTCGATGTCACTTCAGCGGCCTCCTCAGCGAGTGTCCAACACATCTACACTTTCTCCTGCATATTTGTTGGGTGATTGGTCCTTGTTTTGTTTGTTTAATCCCATAGTTTCTTGTTGGTGATTCCTTACAGCCATCTGATCTTCAGTATAGAGCGAAGACAGTTGTTGTTGATAAAGGTCTGCAACAGGATGTTGGAAATATTCTTTGTGACCCACCGCCAAGTTTCTGATCCATCCGTATAGAAGAACTGACTGACTTGACGTTTGTATTGAAAATCTGAATTTTGTTGTTGACTGTTGCTGAGTGACGAAGATTTCCAGATTGGTTTCAGATTGCCATCAGTCCTCTTCGATGAGTAGACATCAGGAAAATGACCATTTTCAAGAATGGCTATGAAACAATGTGGCACTACTTAGAGGACCCAAAGGAGGTTCCATGGTCAGACTATGTTGCGTAATACTTTAATCGCTTGTGAATCTTATTATTATTTCGACTCACACACACACGCACACTCACACATAAATACACACACATCCCTTTGAGATTATTTATACATTTCATGGACTATTTTATAAAATTATTATTATTATTATTGTTCCTGACTGACTTGACGTTTGTATTGAATTTTGTTGTTGAGTGTTGCTGAGTGACGAAGATTTCCAGATTGGTTACAGGTTGATGAATGTGTCTCTCACCTTCCCGATTCTCGATTTGACATCCTCGTCCACTCCTCCCGTAGTTGAGCCATTGCTCTGTAGCTAGATAAGTGAATGAAGTAACCTGTTTCAAATCCCTCCCGTTGATGGTGAATGGCGCTGGATGTTGCTGATGTTGTTGCTGTTGTTGGTTTGCTGGTGATTTTCATAACCTCCGTCTTGTCTATGTTCACCTGGAGTCCTGTCTTTGCTGCTTCTTTGACCAGTTTGTCGGTTTTCGCTTGTAAGTCTTCGATTTTGTCTGACATCAAACATAAATCATCCACGAAATGCAGGTTTTCTAGATTGTTCACGTCGGTCGAGGATATCCCTGTCTTCTCGTTTCCCACTGTCTGACGCATAATCCAGTCCAGCCCACCACAATTAGGAATATCATTGGTGATAATAAGCACCCTTGTCTGACTCCTGTATTTACTCCAAACGCTTCGCTGAGTTTTCCGTTGTGGATCACTTGACATGTGCCGTTGTCGTACAGCTGTTGTTGAATAAGGTTGATGAATATTTGGGGTACGCCGCCGTAGTACTTGAGTAGTTTTCAAATTACTTCGCGGTCAACGCTGTCTATCGAAGGCCTTCTCAAAGTCTATCAAGGAAGCTGAGGTAGAGGTTTGATTGCCATTCCATGCGATACACAGCCAATAATTTTTGTCGGTCGCACATGATATTACAGTGTTTTATCCCAGTTTGAATGGCTTCATCGACACGGCTAGCTTACACTGTGTGTACATACATTCATGACATGGCCTATCCAACGTCTTTATTTTCATCATCATTGTGAAGGGAATTGAAACGTATTTATTGCAAACAGAGATGGAGAGATAGACAGACAGACAGAGAAGAATTTCATCATGACCAGCTGAGATCAGCGTTAGAGAACCATTGGAAAACCAGCCACTAGGAGTACTGTAACCAATCAATCAAATCCCCCCTACAAACCAACATTTGAATATCGATGAGATGCTCACTAGCGACTTTCCCTATTCAGATAGGTAGTTACCTAGGTGGGTTCTATTGGGAAATCGTGACCAGTAGGGTGCAGCAGGTCAGGGGATGTGAGGACAAATACTCGCCACCGAAAACATTGGCTAGTGCCAGTCGCGCTATATCGAGTGTGAATTGGCAGGAGTTGGAATTTATGCACTGGCTGGCAACTGGATCAGGTCCCAGTGAGTGGCTTATTGGTCTACTAGCTAGCTCGCTGGCCTTGTAATCAGAACGTGGTTCTGGGTCCGAACCCCTGCTGAATAGCCGGTCCCAAACTAGTCGGACGTGTGAAATAACTGTCTGGCAGTACTCCATGGTTGGTTTTCCAATAGTTCTCTTCAACCAATGTCAGCTCATGAAGAAATCCTGTAACTAATCAATCAAGTCCCCCCTACAAACCAACACTTGAAGGACAGAGAAGAAATCCACTAAGTAGAAATGCAACTTTTTTTCCTTATCACCATGTAGGAATGTAGAATATTCCAAATAATGTATTATTTTTCAAGTATTAGTTTTGTAAAGACATTTTTTCCGATTGGATGAAGGATTTCATCAGTAGGGTACAGCAGTAAGCAGGTTGAAGATGAGGCAGTAACTCACTCACTTATCCAAGAAGATGACATTGCGAAATGGTCACGCTATGTCGTGCATGAATTGACAGAAGTTAGAATTCATGCACTAGCTGGCTGGCTGGCTGGCCATTGGATCAGGTCGGGTCCCAGTGGATGCTCCTCAATGGTCTACGACGTCGCTAGCTCGCTGGCCTTGAAACCAGAACGTAGTCCTGGGTTCGGACACTGACAGTGGGGGGTTGGTGCGTACTGCTGCTGAATAGCCGGTCCCAAACTAGGCTGACGAGGGAGGGAAACAGCTGGCTGGTTGTCTCGCAGTACTCTTCCCTGTGGCAGGCAGGTTGGTTTTCCAGCGGTTCTCTACCCAGCTGATGTCAGTCAACTCAATAATGATCAATAATGAAATCCCCCTCCTTCCAATTTTATTATTTTTCTTTTCTACTTGATTATTGATGTAAAGATTGGAAAATGTTGAATTATTGATTCTTTGAGTCAATAAATGAGCCGATATCTCCTCTTCTCTTCTCTCTCTCTCTCTCTCCCTCTTTTTATTCCTCTTCTCTTTTCCAGAGTTGTCTGCCTTCTGAGCGGTGGGAATATTGACACTTCAATGTTGGGTCGTGTCATCGAAAGGGGCTTGGCACTTGAAGGTCGTCTGTGTCGTTTCATCGTTGTTATAGCCGACCAGCCTGGATGTATTGCAGACTTGTGTGCAGTGTTGAAGCAGATTGGAGTTAGGTAGGTGAGTGTGTGTGTGTTGGGTTGGGTTGGGTTGGTTAGCCTCGTTAACGTCCCGTTTTTGTGTGTATGGCAAACAAACAGTTTGTGAATACAAATAAACAAAAATTATTATTATTATTATTAGTGATATAACAGTGTAAACTTTGTTTATTACAAAATCTAGAGATCCATGTTTCCACTTTGGATCTTAAGTGATCGCAAATCCCGACAAAGTAGCCTGCTAATCTAGGGCTGTATTTAGATGGGACACTAGTCAGTCAGTCAGTCAGTAACTAGTGTGACTGGTGTGTCTGGCTGGCTAGTCCTCCTGTCTTTGGTACAGACTGAATTCTATCAGTCAGTTAGTCAGTCAGTCAGGTTTGCAATGTGGTCACCATGCCACTAGATGGCTAGCTCGCCATCACACGGTGCACACATTGATATAGTGAAATTTTTATACTTAGACGTAGGTGCATAAAGACGAAAACGTGACCTACAACAACTAGCTAGCTCACATCGTCCCACTATCATTGACTGCATAGAGGTTGAAATTACATCTAATGTCAAGTACTTTGGACTGAGTATTTCCTCCGATCTTTCCTGGTCCTCTCACATCTTGCTAGTGACTAGGAAGATGTTTCGCTTGACGTTCTACGTTAGGAAGTAAAGGTAGTCTGGTATAAAGCAGTCTTTGCTTTCTCAGTTTGTCAATTCTTGTGTTTGCTACCCATCCCTCTTTACTGCTCCCCATTAATTTTTCCTGGACTACTTAAGAAGGATTTTAGTTTGCTGAGAAGGGCACTAAAAGCTGTTAGTAGGGCAAGCGGGATTTCGTTAAACCAACTGGTTAACACCATTGTGGATAGACATATAATGTCATGTAAGAAACTAGCGAATTCTATATTGTCAGACCCGGAGCATCCTCTCTTTACGCAGCTCTCTCCTTGCATTTCATCTGGTAGAACTAGAAGCAGCTATAGGAGGCTATATGCCAGGACTACCAAATACAAAACTCCACAATATCTTATCTGGCACAGCTGTTATGTGATGAGAAAACTGTTAGGTATGACACGATCAAGTTACCGCGGCACTCTAACAAATAGTTCCCATTAGCTTTTGTTCTCCTTTCTTTGTTACTGTTATATTGTTGTTCACATCTTCTATTACACAGTAATTTTATAATTCATATTCCTATGGTGCATTGTTTAAAATGTGAATGCATGCTGTTCTTTTCATTTCTTTTGTTTTTCTGTTTTTCTTTTCGTTGTTGTTGCTTTTTATTTTTAAAATCTTATAAAATTTATGAGGTAATTAGATGCAATTTTGAAATGCACTTTGAAAATTCCAAACCTGTACCACAAACACTGTTTGGAATAAAGCTATTAATATTATTCGAACCCACGTTACGCTGCAGTGACTACTGCAGTCAGAGACGTTACCACTGAGCAGCTTTTCCGTACTGGCTGGCGACTGACCTCCTTCCTGTAGGACTGTGGTGTAGTGGGTATTTTGATTGGACATTAGTCAGTCAGAAATTAGTGTAACGTGTCTGGCCGGCTAGTCCTCCTGTCTTTGGTGCAGACTGAATTCTACCAGTCAGTCAGTCAGGTTTTCAATTCTAGGTACCTCATCATCACGATGGACACATTGTTTTGATGATATTAGATAGGTTGCAGATACGCCTTGCTGATCGACTGACTGACTGACTGACCGGTGAGTGCCAACTAGCAGCATGAAACCTAGGTCTAAGAAAAGCTTCCTTCCTCTGCCACGGCCGATTGCCTCCAACTGCTATCTGATATCATCAAATCTAGGGCTGTCTCAGGCAGGTTGACTAATTGACTGTCATTATTATTTTTATTTTATTTTGTTCCATTTGCGTACCCACAAGGAACATAGAGGGCTACATGCTTTGTAGCTTTGTAGCTTCAATTGCACTGGTGTTTATTTTTCACAGGATGATGGGGTTGCCAGCCTCATGCCCAACCTTTACTCGGCGAAATTCAACAGCGGTGTCCTTTCCCAGGAGTGTGAACGCTCCAATGACCTTGAGCGCATGCTAGTCGTTGGCTGACGTGATGGCTGGCACCTGTCATTATCATAGCTGATACAATATGAACGCTATTCACCAACTTTCAAGTGGAGCAAATTTCACCCAGATCACGATTTTAAGTCCTGCTTCGACAATGTGTTAGTTAATAGCTCGTTAGGGTTAGGATCAGGGTTATGATAAATTAGCATTAGGGTTAGAATTACTGTTTAGATAAGGGTTATGATTAGGGTTAGGATTAAGGTTAGGCTTAGTGTTAGTGTTAGCGTCAGGATTCAGCTTATGGTTACGATTAGGGATAAATTTATAGTTGATGTCATTTATTTATTGTAATTTGTTTTATTATACACGTTTTCCTGGTAAATGGTAGCCGTCTATCCTCTTGCTGGAAACCATAACAGTTCAACCGAGGACCCTTTTTTGGAAGACTGCAAGCAGGATGACAGAGTGAGAGAGATAAACGATTCACACAAAAACACTTTTATCCGTATGCATCTCCGTGAATACCCATGTACAGAAACTAGTCTAACTTAGCAACTGACACTCCCCCTCTTACAACTAGGACGCCCTATTTTTAAGCCATGTGTCAGAGAGGAAGATGACCTGTTTTTAATGCGTTTTCAAGCATTTTCTTGTCAATATACATACATCATTTTTCGCTGAGCAAACATTCCTCATTTTTATGTGATTGATCACCTGAAGGTGATTCACTCGTGTGCATTCGCATCCCTTGGGACGCCTATTGGTGAACTTTGTCCTTTTTACTGTTTACCAGTAGGTAAATAAGAAAGACAAATTCAACCAGTGAAGAAAATTTACTTTATTGACGAAATCATCTTTAGCGGCTGCCTCGGGTGTACAGTTGTATTTATACTCACAAAAATATATGGCAGTCTATTTTTGAGTAGAAAAAAGCATTTTAACCAAAAATGAGAATAACCGAATCCTAACGATATTTTCCATATATTAATAGCTAAGCTAATTAATTAGTCGTTCCAGTTTAATGTGCAATATTAGTAAACATTGCATTATGCCTCAATCTTAGGCCTTTCGTATTCCCCACATAATTTTAATCTCATATTTGGTTGCCCTTTCATACTGTGGTGAGAGCTGTCTGCTAGGCGAATTTGGTAGACAGTAATTCACGTCAGTGTTTATGTTTCAAATATTATTGGTTATGAGAAAGGAAGAACAAGAAATAAGACTGACTGACTTGACAACCAATCACAGAAGACTTTGTTTGCGTAGGTGGATACAACTAGCAGATAGATAGATGATCTGACCTTCAAAAAACAGTCACAAAGAGAAACAACCAATCAGAAGACTGTGTTTGTCTGCTAACAATAATCGATATCAATGTATGTTCATGAAAATCGATAAATATTTGTTATTTTCCTTAATAAACGATCTGTTGCCTGGCCCTCGTTGCCTTCTGTTGTTATAATACAATGCTACATAGCTGATATATGTTTCTTTGCCCACACTATTTGATAAACATTTAATGAGTTTCCCGCCTTCCCAACCCTCCACTCTGTTACGATTATTTCCTTTTAAGCATTAAAGATATCAGTCAAGATCGTACATGGTTGAAGTCGAGTGTATTTGAAGTTCAAGTGAAGTGTATCTGTGAAACTCGTGATTTTGTACAAGCAAATGATCTGGAGCGGGCATTGAAAGCCAAGTATAAACACGTTGTCTGGGGGGATGAGTCCATTTGGTGATTATTATTATTATTACTATTATTACGCTTCCCCTTCTACTCTTGTTAATTAACATAATTACACATTTCTGATATAATCAATGAAATCTCTATTATTATTATTATTACTTTTATTATTATTATTAATAAACGTGATACTAGGAACCCATTCCGCATAATCCCCCCCCATCATCTCTCTTGATCAGTTCACTTTGTTCTGGTGATTCCCTCCCTGTTCTCTCTCTCTCACTTTCTCTTCTTCTTGCTGTTTCCATGCTCACTTCTTCTTCAGGCTTGACAATCAAAATAAAAACAGATCAATTCTTATTCTCCCGTTTTTATTTTTATTTTCATTTATTTATTGATTTTTTATGGAATAAAACAGATTTGATTATACATTTCAATTGAGCAGCTAACTGATTTCTCAACTGTGCACAATTTTCAATACATAAAGCAAAGAAAAAATATTCATTCATTCAGACATCTTCTATCTATCTATGGAAAACACAAAACATCAAATGATTGAGCCAGCAAAGAATATCCCCCTTTTCGATAAGAAGTTCCTCCTCCTCTTCTCTCTCTCTACAATTATATCTATATATGCATGTCTGTTTATATACATAGAATATTCTAGAATAGTCTTGTCAATAACAATATTAGTGTGTGCTTTTTAAATAGTAATATCGATTTGTAAAGTAAGATCACAATGGAATCACCACAGTTCATTAAAGATGCTTAAATTATATCAATAATAAACATATAATAGCAAATAGAACATCAAGTAAAATTAGGAAAATTCCACGAAAATTCAGGATCGATCATTCAAACCTGGATAGTCAAGCCAGTAAGGATAATGTCTGAACCAACCAACTTCTTTTGGATGCACAAATTAGGCTGGTTAATATGGATCTCAATGGCCAGCGAGTTAGCCTCAGCAATATTCAGTAGTGGAAGTGTTAAGGCGCAAATGAGATTCGTTGTTATTCGGTAAATGACCTTGATTGGTTGATGTCCGTACATTTGACGAGAAACACGTATAATTGTACGTCGTATGCAAGTTACTGGCTCACTCCAGAGAATCAGTTCAATTAGTAGATAGACATGGAAGAAGCGAAATTAGGCAGTTTGTCTGTTACTCCCGAACGCATAATAGGGATTGCTGGTTTTGAAGACACAGCGTTATTCAAAAGCAGCACTGAATGCTCTTTGTTTCACCACATTTCCAAGGCTCAGCTGTGTTGTTTCTCACTGATGTTGTTCCCCAGGAGAACTACATTTGTAAGAACAAGGCCTTCCTTTTTCGGAACTGCTGTTGCCTTGGCCTGCTATGATTTTAGATTCCTATTCTTATCAATAAACTTTTATGGATAGCCATTCTCACTCGGCAGCCGTTTAATATTATTAAGTTCTTCATCAAGACATTCATCCGAGCAGACTGCTCTTGCTCTGTAGTGGACCAAGTGCTTCATCAGATTACGTTTGTATTTCCAAGACACAAAGCTGAAAAAATGGGTATACTGACAGTCAGTTGATGTAGGTTTTCTATATACACTTCCTCTTCTTATTGTGCCACCCCCTTTTCTGGTCATAAGGACGTAGTCTGGAAATGAAATACATACTTGATATATACACTGGTAACTCATCAATATTGATTTTTCACACCTGCATGATTGAATTTACTGAATTCCCATTGGTTGTTAATATTTTTAAAATGTGGCATTGATTTTCTTAACTGTATAAATACGGAGTTTGGTTTAACATTTTTGACTGTTGTAGAGACAGTAAAAGCTCTCGAATCAACGTCCAGTCTTCTTTCTTTGTCTTGCGTGCCCAATGGTATTGTCGTTGTTTGTTGTTGTTGACGTGCGATTAGGACAGACTAACCAGCGCATTAAGTTCGATTCGTTCGTAGTCTACAAAGTCATAATATTCATACATAACAAATTTGGCGACGGGTTTGCTCAAGATGGACCCACTGCGTTTAGAGAAACTAATGGAACAGCAGCTAAAATTGATGGAAATGCTTGCTGGTCTACAGATATCTCGCCCTGTCGATTCATCTACAGCCAACGACAGCATTGGTAGTAGCATCCCAGAATTCGTTTATGATCCAGATGCGAACATGACTTTTGACACCTGGTTTCGCAGATATGAAGACCTATTTCGAGTAGACTTTGCGTATAAAGATGATGCCTGGAAAGTACGGCGGCTTCTACTTCGTTAATTGGGAGCAGATGAGCTAGATAAATATTGCAACTTAATTCTCCCACAGAAGCCCAGCGAAAGATCATTCGATGAAACTGACCATACCCTTCGTCATCAGTTTGGTGATCAGAGATCTTTATTCAAAATTCGATATCATTGCATGAAAATAGCTCTGAACGAAAATGATGATATCCATACTCAGTTAGGTATAGTCAGTCGGACGTGTGAACGTTTTTAATTGAAATCGCCCTCAGAAGACCAGTTCAAGGTATTGATTTTCATGTGTGGTTTGCAGTCCCCCAAATTTGCTGACATACGCACACGCCTAATAAATCCTCTGGAACAAGATCCACGAATGACTTTGAAAGACGTCGGTGAAGAATATCAGCGTTTAATCAACATTCATAACGATACCGTCCTGGTGCAGTGCAGTCTGGCAGCCAAAATGCAGCAGAAGTGCATGCGGTGCATCCAGTACCGTCGAGATCAACCACACCGCTTCATCCTCAACATAAACCACCATCAGCCTGCTAGCACTGTGGCTCCTGGCATTTCGCAAACTTGTGCCCGTTCAAACAGCATAGATGCCGTCGATGCCATACTGTTGGTCACAAAGATGGCTACTGCAAACGCAACAACCGACTCAGATCTCGTAGTCGGCCCAGACGGTGCTACAACTCGAAGTCTTTGAGCGTTACTGCCGCATATCATAATAGTACTCCGGCACCTCACAAATATATCGATCTGACGATTAATACACGGCCGGCACGCCTACAAATTGACAGAGCATCCGATATTACAATAATATCAGAGAAATTATGGCAGAAGTTGGGATGCCCTACCATAGAGAAGATAAATCAGATAGCAATTAGTGCATGTGGTGGAAGACTTCGATTGAATGGAGAAATAAAATGCAGCGTTGGTTTTCGCGGTAGTCATTTCGTTGGCACATGCTACATCAATAATACAAACCTTAAACACTTGGGTTTAGTCTGGTTCGAGAAGCTTCACCTATCAGAGATTCCGTTAAGCATTGTATGTCATAAGATCGAAAGTTTTCAACCCTCAACAATAAAGCCAGAAATAAGAGACAGATATATTAGACCTAAAACCATTATAAAGAATGACGTGATTAATGAAACACCAACTTCGATTCGTCATAGTGAGTGTGGCTGAGCCAAAAGTGTTTGGATGTCTGGTAGCAACAAAGTAGTAACTGTTAGCTCCAGTAAGACGATCTCTGCTCAAAAATTGAAAGTGATGCCTGTCATTTTCTTCCTCGCTGGTAAAATTTATTTCAGGATGAACCTCGTTAAATTTATCCAGGATGTTCTTTCCCTGTTCCTCCTTCTCCTTCTCATTTTTCATAATCAAAAATTTATCATCCATGTATGTGCCGACAATAGAATTCGAGTTCATTAATAGCATCTTTCAGAGAGCCGTTATTTTCTAGTTTCGCAAGGAATATGTCGGCTAGAATGGTGGTCGTAATGATGACTCCATTACCACAACGTCGATTTCTCCATATATAGTTCCTTATTGAATAAAAAGTGGACATTCATTGTGCATTGTGCATTTCAAGAGAAGCGCCTCTTTCACCATTCACACTTTTGTTTTGACTCGGTTAAACACCCTTTTTTACTTTATTTTTCGCTTCACTCAATGTTCATCATATAACCAAAAAATGCACATTTAGAAAATATATTCGGGAAGATGAAAGAATTCAGTGAGCGAAGATTCGTGTGTTGGTACTTTTCAGTTGGAGGGGATCTTCTTCAACGTTCTTCTGCATACAACATTCTGCTCTATCTATCGGATAAATCGAATTTCTTTGTCAAGTGATGTTTTATTATTCGGGATGGATTTGATCGATTCCAGTTTAGATATCGATCGATCTATCGTGAATTGACTTCTCAATTGCAGACAGAAGTATTGAAAACCACCACCACCACCACCAAGGGGGAGTACTGAACAACTGGCTGTTTCGTCGCAGTTTAGCGCTCTACAGAAGTGCACAGAGTTAACCTCACCACCTCACCAGTGATCGCACACAGGATGTTAATGTCAGGAGGCGAACTCCTATATTAATTAATTTATTTATTTATGTTGACTGTAGCTTGATTCGACCCACACAGTACTTTTGGTACAAGTATGGAACTTTCAGCACATGATATTGGTAGAACAAATTTTACAGGCCGACCTTTGTTATGAGTTGTGCGTCGCGGGGAGGGGATCGAACCGCGGAGCATGCGCATGGTCGTCGAGAGTCCTAACCACTAAGACGTATTCCAGTGGTCCAGCAATTTTGACTTCTCTCAACTCATTATACATGCAGTACCACTGTCAGTCCATGACGTCAGCGAGTGTTTGTCCTCACACTAAACCTGGTAAACCCACACTGGTCACCACTTCTCACTAGAACTCCAAACACTGTCATTCTCTTAGGCCATCACTAGTGTGTATTAGATTTACTTTTAAGTTTTGGTTTTAGTTAACATCATGAAGTGGCCTCATCATTTGAAGAACTACTCAATATCACAGAGTACTGGTTGATTGAAGTTAGAATGCATGGGCCACTGGGTTCCATCTCAGTAGCTAATTGAACAGCAAGCCCGTCTCATAACTTGATGGTCTTGGGTTCGACTCCTCGGATGGTGGGGTCACATGGATCTACGAGTGAAGTTACATGAACCGAATTATATGTAAATACATATTTAAATGTATATGGTGAGAGCTGTCTGCTAACATCGTGCTACCACCCAGGAAACAACGAAGAAGTCACTCTTTCAACTGATGTATGGTAGAAAACCACGATTA